GGGGGGAGGGAACGCTCCCCATCCCTGGGGATGCTCCGGGGGAGTCCCCCACAGGATGGGGACACGAGGGGGCTCCACTCGACAATCACCGCGGGGGTTTCATGCACTACAGTCTCTCCTAGAGGGTTTTTAGTCGGGCTCGTCGGCTTAAAAAAATTAATTAAAAATAGTCCTCGTGACCTATAAATAAAACAAATAACCTGTACATATATATATATATATATCTCCACATATATATATATGGGGCTGCAGGGCCGGGGGGGCGCGGGCCCACGGGCCCACACACAGTTAAGGTACTTTAAATCGCAAAGGAATATATATATATATATATATATATATAAAATCCCCTATATATATATATATGTCTTGTTTGGTGGGGTTTGGGTTCTTTTTTGGATTTTGGGGGTTTTTTTGTAGTTTTGTTTTGTTTGTTTGGGTTTTTTTTGTACTCGGAGTTTGGAATTTGCTGCTTTCTGCCCCCAGCCCGGGGATCCCAGCGCCGGCTGGGAACCCGCTGGGTGCCCCCGGTGGTGGGTGCCCCGCGAGATGCCCACGGGTGACCCTCTGGGTCTCCCGTACGATGCCCGTGGGTGTCACTCTGGGTGTTCCGGGTGACGCCCACGGGTGCCCCGATGGGTGCCCCAATGGATGCTCCAGGTGATGCCCGTGGATGCTCCTCTGGATGCTCCAGGTGATGCCTGTGCGTGACTCTCTGGGTGCCCCGGGCGGTGCTCACAGGTGCCCTGCTGGGTACCCAGAGGAACACCCACGGGGGTCCCTCTGGTGCCCACGAGGATCCCTCTGTGTGCCCCTGGGTGTCCCTCTGGGTGTCCCAGGTGATGCCCCTCTGGGTGCCCCTGAAGATACCCGTGTGTGCCCCGGGTAGAATCACGGGTGCCCCTCTGGGTGTCCCGGGGAGACCCCCAGGTGCCCCTCTGGGTACCCCGGTCCGTGGGTGCCCCTCTGGGTGCCCCCGAGCCCCGCTGGGTGCCCCGCGCGATGCCCGCGGGCAGGCGGGAGGGAGAGCCGGGGTGTGGGGGGCAAAACCCACGCCGGGGCAAAGAGCGGCAAAAAGGAGAGAAACCGCCCCAAAAAGGCGCCGAGGCGGCAGCCGGCCGGACCGCGCCTCACCCAAACCAAAAATCCCGCCGCAGTGCCTCCGCGCCGCCGGCTGCCCCCGCCCGCCTTTTCGGGGGTCCCCGCTCCCCCCGGGGGGGCAGGGGCTGCCCCCCCCCCCCCCCCCCCCCCCCCGCAGTTATATTTTACTCGTTCGCCGGATTCTCGCTTTGCTTTGCCGCAGCCGATA